AGCCAACCCCTGCCCCCCCCACCAAGCTGAACCCTTCAGAGTGAGGACCGGAGAGGGAAGACCAGGGTGGTCCGAGGCAGGAAAGAGAAAAGAAAGGTGGAGGGAGGCCCCAGGAGGGACCTCAAGTTAAAGGGCAATGTGAGCCGGTGTTACCCCTAAATGTGCCACAAGATGGGTGGGCGGCCTCCCCACCTGCCCCTGGGTTCCAGCCCCAGGCTGGGGGGGGGGCTCCTTTATTCCTTCCACAGGCCCTGGTACGAACTCCAGCTTTCTCCCTGTGCCCCAGTTTTGCTTTTATTACCGAAACCCGTTTCCCCCCAAGCCCCAGCTATTGGAATTCTGGAACCAGGATCTCCCGAGAACATCGATTTAGCCGCAGGTGCATCCAGTTCTGGCCTTAAGGAGAGTAAAGGGGAGGATGTGCACCTGGTCGAGGAGCCGGCTGGGGAGCGAGGTGGGCGAGGTTGATGCTTTCCACCCACCGCAGCTACCTCGCCCGTGTGAGGTGCCTGCGGGGACACCCCCTCCCCGCCGCGTTTCTCCACTTTTGGGGCCAGTTTTCAGAAGTGAAGGAAGTCATCGCCCAGGGACTGTAATGATGTGATTTCAGGTAAAACTAGGCCTTATCTTGGCCAGGTTCAGCAGGACAAGTGGGTGCGGTGAGCNTTAGGCCTTATCTTGGCCAGGACAAGTGGGCGCGGTGAGCTGGGCCGAGGGTACCTTGGGGTGGGGGGTCGGGGGCTCCTGGAGGGCTCCTAGGAGGCGCCCCTTCTTCTGCCACCCCCCCACTTTCATTCCTGACACTTTCCCAAGGAAATGCCAGTGGTGCTTTACCCTGGGCGGTGCNCTAGGCCTTATCTTGGCCAGGTTCAGCAGGACAAGTGGGTGCGGTGAGCTGGGCCGAGGGTACCTTGGGGTGGGGGGTCGGGGGCTCCTCGAGGGCTCCTAGGAGGCGCCCCTTCCTCTGCCACCCCCCCACTTTCATTCCTGACACTTTCCCAAGGAAATGCCAGTGGTGCTTTACCCTGGGCGGTGCATCTCCCCCCTCCTTGCCCCCTATTTTCGTCGGGACCCAGCCTCGCCAGACCCAGGGAAGTTTACAGTTCCCTTGGAAGGACAGCGGTCCCAGGACCCAGCACCTCTCCAGGCGGGCGGGGGGTGGGGTGGAAGCCGCACCGTGGGCCAGGGTGCCCCATCCATCCCGGGCTGCTGGAATCTTCCCGGGGGCGCTCTAGGCTAGAAGGAGAAGCCGGGGAAGCTAGAAATTCTTGAACTGAGAACCAGACCTCTCTGGCACGAAAGAGAAGGCCCAGTGGCTCGGGGTCCGGGGACACCAGGCCCGCCGGAGCCCGCGGGGCCGGGGCTCCCAGCGCAGCAAAGGCGTGNCCCAGCACAGCAAAGGCGTGCCCCCCGCCTCTGCCCCACGCCCCCCAGGCCTCGCCCTTTCCTAAAAGCGCTAATAACTCTGCTCGGAGCAGGACTCTGCTCAACAGCCTCACCAGCCGCAGCAGTCCTCGGAGCAGGGTTCCCAGGACACAGCTGGAGGGACCGCCACCAGTTCTGTCCGGGGAGGGAGAGGTGGGGGTCTACTCAGCTCCCTGCCCGCATTGCACACACACAATTACACACACACCCCACGGAGGCACAGAGAACCCTGTCTCAGACACACGGGGGGCAGTCTACTGGCGATTTCAGCTCCCTGCAGATAAAACCACGCACATCAAGTTCCTCCGTGCTCCAGGTGGCGTGGCAAAGCAAAGCAAAGCAAAGCAAAGCAAAGCAAAAAGCGAGGGGCCCTCCACACCGCCGTGTGCACGGGTGGGGCGCATGTCTCTAGCAGTTTGCTTGCGCCAAGCTTCGCAGACCAAACCCCCGAAGCCTCCGGGGCCCCGCAATCCCCTTGCACGTGTCCCCCCTCAGCTGCGAGCCAGCAGGGAGGGAGGGAGGGACCTCCATCCCTGGACTTGTTAGGAGCGAGTTGAGGTCGATGTCCTGCCTCCACCGCGGCCAAAGCTGTGGCCCTTCAGCACTTCAGGGAGAGGTGTTGCCTCCAAGGGAGGCTGTGGCCTGCAGGCCAGCCTAGGAGGTGGCCCCCTGTCCCCCTGCCCCTACCCCACGCTGCAAGTCCTCCGGTGTCTGGCCGCAGTTACTTAGATTGTCACAAATCCCTCTGACTCCCTCAGCCCTCTCAGAGGGGACCAGTGGTTCTGGGGTCTTCCTTGTGGCTGCTCCCTCTAGCTAGGGCCTGAAGTGGGGTGTTGGTGAGGGTTTTACAGGTTTTACGCCCTTTGCAGCCAGAAGGGAGCAGGTGAACTTTCAGTGCCTGGCCCGCTGGTCCTTCCCCCTTCTAGGAACCAGAGGCCATTATCCCTGGAAGGTGACCCTAGGTTCCTGTGCAGAACCCTTGGGGTCCCCAGGATCTGGCAGGAACCAGAACCTGCAGCAGGGGATTTTCTGGGCACTTTAACCCGTTCCTGGATGTGACCCCACCTCCTCCCAAGCCCTTGTGACCTGAAACAGACTCAGTTGGCAGGATGGGCCCCGGGGGCAGCTCTGGAGCAAGAAATGGGGAAGACAGACAGAGGTTGAGG